AAAAAGTGAAAGTTAGCCAATAGTGGCTTCTTTGATGGGTGCATTCCGATAGAAGAAACCAGTCCCGTAGCGGAGATTCATGGTTCCCCGGCTTGGATTTCGGTAGGGGAAGTTGGATGTTCTTCAAAGTCCAATCAATATATGCTTGAACCGTGATGCCGCTCCCAAATTTGTTCGCGAACACCCTTTGATTTCGCTCCTTTCAGATCCGACACGTCATTATCTGCATAATTACTTTTGTTAGAAGTGTCTTGTTGTTGCTTTTTGTCATTGGCTGAGCTATCAATCCAAGTCCGACATAGATCAGTGTGGTGTTCGCTGGTGGTGAGTCCCAGCAAAGGCCCGCAAGGTTTATCCAAATTTGTGAACTGCAAGTTACGCTCGAAGAATAGGTGGTTATGCGATTCTTTCTCCTCTCCGTTGAGCAGAGGACGCAAGTGAGGTCTGTTGGCAAACCCCGGCGAAGAAGGTGATCCTTTCTCGGGAGCCTCGGCAACCATGATTTCCCATGAGAGAAAAGAGAAGCGGGGTGTAGAGTGCTTAAACTGAACCATACCGTGCCATGCAATCTCTGGTGCTCGTTGTCAGATCTGCTCTCATTGCTTGAACTTGAGAACCATTGTTTGCATTCCCCATTCTTGTGTTTCCATAGTGGTGTGTCGGGGCCTTAACTTCGGATGGTATCGGCGCTCCTGTCAGGGCTATAAAAACTTGCTGTAGACTTTCGAACTTGTCTCCCAGTGTTCGATCTCAACAAGCTCCTTGGACTGTGCACTCGCGGTCCTGTTTTGCCTGCGATATCTAGTAGTGACCCGGATGTAAGCCAATAATCTAGCAAAAAATGTACCATCAAACTGATAGAACAACAAAGTCTCAAAGCCCATGGGTAGAACTCACCCTAAAAGCTAGTTCATTGGGAAAGGGTGTCCATGGTATTATATTGACTCAATTGTTCCCACATATTTCCGATGTGGGACTCTAACAAAACCGCCCCCTTTAGACAGTGACGACCATGGCGTTGGCGGCTTCTCGGACGCTGGCGGCCTTTGTGCTCCTCTCCCGACCGTTCCTCTCCCGCCGCGTCGTCTCCATGTCCCAGGATCGGTTGGCTCTGATACCAATTTGATAGAACTCACTCATTAATAATGGGCCCAACAAAGTCTCAAAACTCATGGATAGAACTCACCCCAAAAGCTAGCTTGTTGGGGAGGGTGTCCATGGTATTATATTGACTCAATTGTTCCCACATATTTCCGATGTGGGACTCTAACACAAATAAACCCGATAAACGTGTGTATCACCGGTGGAATAAAATACTAACCTCGATTTTTGAAGAAGCTTCAAGTACAACGATCTGACACCTGTTTTAACTCGCCTGTAGCAGAAAAAATTAAACAATCCTAGAAATCAATCATGCATATTCTAGTTCTCGCTCCTAGACTTGTGGAGATGTGCTAAAAATCCTATGAAATATTCTTCTTTTATAGACTCTCACGAAACCCTAATCCTAGTGGGAAAACAATTTTTCAAAATCTGATCCAGTCCGGATCAACTCAATGTATTTTTCAAAATCTGATCCAGTCCGGATCAACCCAATGTGATAGATACAAGCGCGGAAGACGCATTCCTCTAGTTCAGTCATGCCTTGCGTTACGGTAAAGACCAACGCATAGTCAGACCACAATGCAGAGTCCGGTTAAAATCGTCGAGTATGATCCATGGTTTGGATCGTGTCCTTGGCATATACAAAGGTCATTGTTACGTCGAGTATGATCTATGGCTCCAATTCAGTTTAGTTATTTTCGGGTTTGAGTTTTTTTTTTATTTTACAAATTTATAACTATGTTGGATTGGACTCGGTTAGATTTTTTTTTTTTGGTTAAAGTTCGGGTTTTATACACCATTTTTCTTAAACAATGTTTCGTTTTGTTCAATTTTTATTGGTTATCTTCATATTTGCTTCAGACACATGTTTTCATCTTTACAAAATTATATCTACTAAACTTTATTTCCATTTAATACAGTTTGGTGAACTCCTAAATGAATATACTGATTTTGTGGGCAGTTTGATAATTTATACCAAGATGTTGAGTATTTAAGATGAAATTACTCGTATAATATTGTTATAGTTATCGCTTTTTCATTTAGTTTATGTATGAGTAGTTTGATATATAAAAAACCATTAAAAATTTTGGGACAAAACTTTTGACAGAACTATTTTTGGCAATTTTCCTTAACGATAGAAAACTGCAACATTTCGTGGGCTGCGAATAAAAAAAAGAAAGAAGTCTGCAACATGTGTGGGCAGTTTGGTCAAATCGAAATTATGTTTCGTGCGTAAAACAAAAGATTGGGTAAATGCAAATTTATTTATTTTATTGATTCGCAACTGAAATCACAAATATAATACACTATTTTTATAAAATCGACCACTTCCCCATAACGATTATATAAAATCGGAAAAAATCCATATAATAAGAATTCGAAGATACATCGCATTTTATAGCAACGCGATAATTTGGTCATTATCAGTGTGCGATGGAGAGTAATATCGTCTCAAAAAATATATATTATCAATCGTTAATCAGGGACTAAAAAGGGTTGTTGATAAGATTCAAAATAAAAAATTTTTATAGTATTTTGTTGAAAACGTGTTTGCAATTATGTCATATCTGAATCTGTCGAATAGCGTAAACTTCAAGTGTGCATTGTGGATATTGGACCATGTATCATCCTTTTTTAGAAATATACCTAAATTTCATAAATTTAAAAAAAAAGAACATAATCACATTCACCAACCTATACAAAAAAAAAAACATTAAAAGAGGAGGGAAAAAATACATCAATTTTACAAAATATATCTAATAAATATTTAAAATTTTAATTTGATATGATATTTCAAATGTTAAAATATTTTAAATGGATATTTCAACTCATGAAATCGATTGCAATTTTAAATCTCAAACGATGATATATAAATTTAATATCATTTTTCAAATTATAAAAAACGAATCGAAATTATAAACTGCTCTCGATTTTATGGGTGAAGTATTAATTTCGAATATTTCAACATTCAAAATATCAATTTGTATCATTTTATCATTTGATATCAATTAGATCAAAATAAATTTTTAGTTATTTATTTAATACATCTTTTTATGAGAATGAAAGCTCATTTTGCTAATTATTCAATGTCACGACTCGAGGTTTTCTATGACCAGATCTCGTCAAGCTATGGAGGAGCCGTTGACTTCCTTGGCGTGGGGTGCAAGCCCTTTCTTTTTTTTCTTTTTCTTTTTCTTTTTTTTTTTAATTTTGGGCGTTCAGTTTATGTTCTGAAACAGCTTTCTAAAACACATAGTCTGGCCCTCTCTTGTATAAAAGAACATAAATAAACGAAGCTTTTACAGCAAAAACTTGTTCACTTTCGTCATCAAGATCCTCGACGGTTTTACCGTTTCGGTAGTTATTCTTTTGCTGATACAATTCATTTGTTGAAAAAAAAAACATTTCAGGAAGATTAATGGATAATCCCGGAGCCGATGTTATGGAAACCTCCACTTTGCTGGAAGATGCTGACAAGAAGTCCAAGGGACTTCACCTCCGCAAACTCGTTCTCGAGTTAGAAATAGCAGAGGCCGAGAAGCGGCTGAAAAACCTCGAAAGGGTTTATCTTTGCGCCTCAGAAAAACACGACGAACTAAAAGTAAGTTCTCCAAAACAATTCAATATCGTATGTAACATACGATATATCTATACATATATACCTTACGAGATGATGAATTCCGTGGCACAGTGGCTCGGGCGGCACTTTTACAGTGAAGAAATCCGTGCTAGATCTTGTTTTTCTTACATTGGATACCACATCGATCAATTTAAGCACCTGGTAGAGGAATTCCAGAACACTCTCGACAAGGTGACTAAGGCAAGACCAAAACAAAATGGAACAGAAGCCATTCATCATCACGTAAGTTGTAGTAAACAAATCATCACGAAACTTGTAAGAGAATCGACCAAATCTCATTCCGGTCGATGCCCTTGAATGTCTTATAGTAGTTTTCTTTTGTGCATGTCCGGTTGATCCAGAGCCTGCATGCCTTTGCGTTACATGGTTGTAAGAATCTGGCACAAGAAAACAAACAACTGCAGCGGAAAGCACAACACCAGAAGCCCGAAAACGATGAACCAAGTCAAGAAGAAATCAGCTTCGAATACATAAATCGGGAGGTATCGTCCTAATTCTCCCCATGAAGCTATAAAACCATAACATTTACAGTTTACTAAGATGAGTGAGTGGGGTCAGATGTTTAAGTTTTTCTATCTTATCTATCAACAATTAGTTGAACTACATTCAAAGAACATTCCCAAGGGGAAGTGGCAAGCATTCCATGCATGAGCTGCTAAAGGAGGCTAAAGAGACGAGGAAGTTACGAGACAACGCTATCGCGAATGGAAGACACGACATTTTGGCAAAATCTATGGAGAATGAGATAAAAGTAACGCCGACCCTAATGAGCTTTCCTCTTTTTTACCTCAGGAGATAGTTCTGAAATTGGCTCTTCCGACTTTCAATCACAATGATGGAACCGCAGTTCATCTATTCCATCTCCAACTCCGACCAGATTCTTCCGAATTCCGCTGATGCAAAAGACTATATACATATACCTTTGTTTTCCTTCTAGGTTCTGGAGAAGATGGTAGGAGAGCTTCAGAAAGACAGGACAGAATCAGTGCATAGGATGCAAGAATCGAGAAGGGCATACGAAGATTTTGCAAAAAAGGCGAAGGCTCTGGAAGAGAAAAAGGAACGCCAATGCGGTAGGTGGGACGAGGAAAACAAACACATAATTGGACTGAAGAAAACACTTGGACGAGTTGTAACATCGTTGACCCGCCTTGAAAGAAAAAATATGAACATGCTGTGACAAAATCTTTCATCTTTGTCCGATCATTTCCACACTCTTCGCATTCGGAAACTATTGAAACTGATTCTAAACAATGTAAGGTAAACACAGGCGGATTCTAAACAAGAACTAAGCATGAAGGTTGTCAAAAACTAAGGGGTTGAATGAATAACAGAAATGATCTTACCTGAATAATATCCTCAAGGAATTGTACCTAACAAAGAGAAAAAGCTTATCCGAAAGCATTTCATTGTATAAGTTATAAGAATAGAAATACCACATTTTGACAAAAAAAAAGCATTTCATTGTATTTGATGGATCCAATACAGTCGGTTCCTTATTACATAATCGAAAAAGCTTCATCGAGACAAGAAGTCGCCCAAAAAGCAAAGATTCCATTCTTGGAGTCTGTCTGAAATTGCAGAAGCTGAGAAGTGACTGAAAATCCTTTGAGCAAGATTGCATTGTTTTCCACTCCAACAAAAAGAGCATTTTACTCAAATGAACTATACTTGGATCGCATGGATTTTTCACAGGTACACCATTTTTATAAAAATATAAGGAATTAGCAAAAGTCAAAATTATCCCTTTAAAAAATGGAAAGCCACGTTATCCTTAATGATTCAAGTGTGTTACGCCTTACACGTATAGATTGAACATTCGAGGAAAAGTAAAAATTGGAGATTTTCCAAGTAAAAACTGAATGTTAGGTTTTTCTTTTAATACAGAATTGAAATCAGAAAAAAAGAGAGAGAACGCGAAAACTGGTAAGCAAACACAAAAGCATTCAAAATCGACGTAAACCGACTGAAATCGAGAAGAAAACGAAGAAAGTGGAGAGATCGCCATCTCTGGCTTGTGAGGTTCCATGTGAGAAGAAAACTAATTTGACGCAGTTTATAGATAACACATGTTTTGCGACGGAAATGTAGTTGTAATTGCGATCTGATTAAAGAGTCGTAATTAATTATAAACGCAATTTTACTATAGTTATATTCTAATAACTCTAATACGCCCCCGCAAATCTAGAACTTCTGTAAAGAAGGAATAGATTTGACATTAAAAAATAAATAAAATTCTTCAATCTTCAGATTTTGAAATCTTCAATCTTCAAACTTGAATCTTCAATCTCCAAATCTCCAAATGTCAAGAATATCTCCAAATGTCAAGAATATCTTCATGATGTGAACTTTCCAAAAATAAAGCAAATAGCTTCAATAAACGTTGTTGAAAATAACGACCGGATGGACATCGATCGGATAAACGAATCGGAAAGTTCTTCCGAGAAATATATGGATTCCAAATCGTGTATTATATGACTAGATGAGTCATGGGCCATAGGCACAAAGAGATGTCGATAATGAAGAAGAAGAAAAAAAATGATCTACCGAGAGAGGCAGACAAGAGATAAAGACTGAGGGTTGGGAGACAAAGATGAAAAACACCAAGGTAAAATCCATGGTGGACTATGAAATGGGTTGACGCAAAGAATCGTCTTGGATCCCTTTTCGAAAACTTGAGCAGAGATCAGAATATTGTGCCAACACCGTCGACGAGTAGAGAGAACCAGAGAGAAGGGAACGAAACTGATGATGAGACTCATTTGGTCCAAAAATGTGTCAAAGATTGAGGAAAGAAGATGAGAAAGAGAACCCATAGACGGAGATTGAGGGACTTGTACTAAAAAAAAAACCCTACAATCTGGTGATAGAGAAGAAGCCGACTGACAGAAAAGGAAAAGAAGTCGACAGACAGCAGAAGAAGTATAGAGATAGCAGAAGCTCATATCATTTCGGTGTTCTTCAAAAAACACAAAGTGCAGAAGACAACAAAGAAAAATATAGAGCTTGAGAAAGTTATGGAAGATTTGAACAAAAACAGAACATGATCAAGAACTGTGAAAAAGGAGTAAAGAAGATCATATTATGTATTCATGGAAGAAGATGAGGAATACAGAGGGAAGAAGATTGAAGAAGAAACCCAGAAAGAGAAACTTGATTTGATGAAAAATGAAGATGGGAAATTTCGTCGAACATTTGGAGGGCAACATTTTCATCTGACTTTTGGTAGAAAAAAAAAACTGAACCAAAATCAAACAGAACAGATGAAAAATAAAGACGAATCACTGGTGCTACAGGTGTGAGATAAGACCATCACCTTCATCGTCATCATCTCATCTGCATCTCTCGTTTCATCCATACGAGATACTTGAAAATTGATTTCAGAATAACAAGAAAAATAAACCAAACCAAAGAAAATAGAAACTACAAAAGATTTTGAAGAAGAAACTCGAGAAAGAAAAAAAGAAAGGATCTTAGGCTCTTGATACCATTTTGATATTATAAAATAAAGAGAAAAGTTTCTGAAAATGTTTGTTGTGTCTTTCCATTGATCAAAGGGCAATTGCTTAAATACAAGAGGAAGAAAAGAAACACTTAATAAACCCTAACCTAACCAAACTAATTTAACCAAACTAACATTTAACTATAGTTATATTCTAATAACTCTAATAGCAATCCTAATTGATTCCAAAAGAAATGGCAAAAATCCACTCTTGAAAAAATAGTCAAATTTAAAAAATAATCAAATTTAAAAAATTTGTAAAAGTTTTGATTTTTCTGACTTGTGTGCTAATCATAAGATTTATAGTTTACTATCATAAGCAGGCTCGGCTGTTTACTTTTGCTCTATCCAGACAATCAGTCCAAACACATTTCCAGGAAACAGCCACCAAAGAAAGGAAGAAGTTGTACTTGTACTACTGAGGAATGTGAAAGATCGGCTATAGCATTCACTGATTGACGACCTCAGAAGCCGCAGCATTCAGACGAAATTTACGGAGGATGAAATCAGAGTGAAGAAAATACCGGTGATTTAAAAGCCCCTTTCTTTCTTTTTTCCCCTTCAGGACTTTTGTTTCATTGTCTCTCCTCCTCCAGCTAGCATATGGTATCACCGTTATTTCCTGCTAGCTTTTGAGTAAGATGGTCAGGGTGCTTGTAAAAGAATGAAAGAAAGAGAGCGAGATGAACAAAGATTTTGCAAAAACAAAACTATGCAGCTTCTACAAGAGCAATGTGAATACTTATGCCCAAGATGGGATGAATAAAAGAAACACATGATGCCACGAAGGAAAAGATACACAACATTGCAACTCTACAACAATGAAGAGACCGAAAAAATACTGTTCAACCCTTCAAGGCCTTGCTCAGATGTTCATTTGAACTTTCCAAATTCAAGAAGATGCATCCTCCAGCTATTTCAAAGATACTATACGAATATACGGATTTCAGAAAATGCAGCCGATGCTACTAAGTTATTAAGCTAATTTCGCCGTTAAACAAAAACAATGTATGCAGGGGAAAATAAGCAAAGCAACTTGTTTCTGGTGATATCTATTACACTTCAACGCAAAAACATAAATTGACCCAATAGACAAATAATTTCCACAAGTTTCTCAGCTCTTCCCATTGATATCAAATTCAGATCCAGGTAAACCAAGCCATGTTTATGTTCCCCTTCCCAGACTCCCACTGGATCATTTGATTTACGGTATGGTATGAGCAAGTCCAAAACGTAAAAGCTGCTGCCAGTAATAAATAAAAAACCATAAAAGACACTAATGACTCATGCATGTAAACATAACTCAAGGTTTACCATAATCATCATTCACCTTAGACTTTAAGATTTGAAATAAAATAACCATAACGTTTCACTAGAAGCTTTCAAAACATTCACTAACAAAAAAAAAAAATTCCATCAACAAATATAGATTATGTCAAAATATGAAATCGACAGAAATGACAATAAAAGGGAGCTTAGAGAAAACTCTCAAAATTTTGAAGGATCTTATTTCAATTTAATATGGCAGTGTTATAAAAAAAAAAATAACCATAGTTTGAGGACAAGACATGATTTTATTTTCAAAGTCCAAGGTATTAGAACTAACCTCTAACAAAAACTATTCATATATCACCAAATTCCAACTGTCATGTCAAGAATGTTTTTCTATATTTGATGGATGTATAACATTTGTTACAGAGAAGGACTAGAACTGGAGCAAGTCTTACGAACCTAAAGAGCAATTTAAGAAGATTCTAGTAGTTGACTTCCTTGGCGTGAGATGCAAGAACTATTAAGTCTTCTTCTTTGATATAAGAGCACAAAAAAACAAAGCTTTTCACAGGGAAACTTAATCGCCTTTCTCTTAATTTGTGGTAAGATATTACAATGATTTTATCATATATTTGGCTCGTTTTCCCATATTGGTTTCAGTAAGATGGTGAAAGATTAACAAAAGTAAATGAAAAAAGCACAACCAGATGTTATAAACCCAACAGATCATGAGAATGGTTTCCTAGATTCAATATTTAAAACAGAGCAACAACACTACTCGGTCAAAAGGGTTAGCATCGGTTTAAATTATTTAATGCTGAATTAGTAAAGTCTAGGCCACAGTAATTTAGATTAAACAAAACACACATACTCATCTATCTCTTTATAGTGAGACGACTGGTTCTTCCACAAACAATCATATAATATAGGAAGAAGATAAGAAAAACATATTTCAAAGAAAGTAAACTTCCAAGCAAGAACAAGACAACCGCAGAGCTTCTTCCCTAAGGTTGACCCCCAACAAATCTCAGTCACTTTATAATATAACAATAAAGCTTAAAAATTCTAAACAAGAACCCCAAACGCAGGAATCAATTTTCAAGAACTAAGCTACAAAAGCACAATCAGCTTTTGGCAGCAAAGTCACTAACCTTTTTAATGGCGTCACCTTCTCCGACCAGATTCATCGAGAAAGCCCTTCTCGCCGCCGGCCCTTTCGCCTTATCATATACCGACCCAGATCAGAAATGGCTAATCAGGAAACATCTAATCTCCTTCCTCCAAGATTTCCCCAATTTCGAGCTTTCTACTGATACTTTCAATCACAATGATGGAACCGCAGTTCATCTATTCCATCTCCAAGGCTCTCTCCGAATCCGAAACTCCATACTACAATTGACACCAGTGGAATTAACCATTTGGGTACATGAGAACTACCCATTAACGCCCCCTTTGGTCTTTGTAAACCCTAATTCCGCTCCAATTCGCACGAACCACCCCTTTGTGGACGCTTCGGGTTTCACTAACTCTACATACATCGAAACATGGGAACACCCACGATGCAATTTACTCGATTTGGTCCGCAATCTCTCCAAAGTCTTCGCCAATGATCACCCATTTGTTCATACAGATTCTATCCCAAGCCGATCTTCATCGGCGTCGAGAACCGAGGCCTTGGACCGTTTAGCAACGAATCTTCATTACGATATCCTCGCCATTACGGAGGAAGCAGAGGAAGACATCGAAAACCTCTGGAAACTGCAAACGGAGATGAGGAAGAGATCCGACTCGGTGGCAGAGATCATCAGGGAGCTTGAGACGGAGAAGATTAAACTGAACGAGAATGTTAAGAAGGTTAAATACGACGCCGGTGTTCTGGAAACTTGGGTGAAGACGAACTATCCCAGATTCATCCAAGCAACGTCAGGCGATCTGGAAATTGAAGAAATGTTCGAATTGGAATGCGACAAGGAGGATGAAGAAGCAGTGAAGATGGTTGAGATCGAGAGCTCGACAGAGGATGACGCCATTGAAGACGTGATGCGTGCCCTGGAGGAAGCAGTAGAAAAGGGGGATTTGGAGATGGGTTCGTACCTAAGGCACGTGAGGGTTTTGGCGAGAGAACAATTCTTCCATAGGGAGAGAAATCGCAGCTTTTTTCCCTTATGAAACAAGCTTTGACATGACAGCAATGGTGTACACATGATGGAATCGTGCCCTCTTTTTTTTTTTTTTTGAACATTATTTTTTTACTCGATCTCTGCAAACAAAATCTCAAAACGCCTACAGAAATCGAGCAAATCAACATTCTTGCACACTTTTACGTTTATGAAAAAGCTCCTTCCGGCTGTCGGAGGAAAAAAATTCAATTTTCCGGCATCCCAGAGTTTTTTTAGGTATAAGTAAGTTTCAAATTAAGATTATTTGAGTTTGGATAATCAACTTCATTAATGTGAAAATCGAACAATGATATTGTATATAATCTAAAATCTTTAAATCAAAGTATATAGAAATTATTTTATCAGACATAATATGACCCAAAAAAAAAAGGAAATTAAGAAAATTCTCTAGCTAATATTTAAGTTTTTTTTTTAACATATTGGGAACAATTCTCCTTCTTATAATATATTTTATTAAAATTATATATTTAAATTCTCACGTCTTATATATATGGTCACAATACTAACATCTCTTTCAATTTGTTTTCATGTTATCATGAATAATAGTTAAATTATCTACGACTTTAAAATGAAAAAACATATATTCTGGATTCAGTCATTTTACATCAAAGAGTTAGAACGTATAACTTTGTGTTTATAATTAAATAATAATAATCCTATTTGAAAAAAATAATTGTCACTTCAGATTTTGAAAATAAATTGGTGATGGCTAATAATGATGATGATGATGAAAAATCTCCTATAAATATAAATACTTGAACTTTTAATTTGATTTAGAATCCAACTAGTTGTAATGTTGCAATTGCAGTTGTAAGCGATAACGTTTTCAAAATGTTTGGTAAGGATAGCTGGATGGTAGCATTTTCAAAATGTTTGATAGCGATTGCGTTTGGTTACCATTAAAAGTGAATGGATGTAAACGTACGTTTCGAATTGTGTTTTGATGTAAATTATCAAAACCGACATGATTTTTAGATAATTTTAAATTAATTATAATTAATTTTATATTATCATTTGATATAAATAATTTATAAATAACTATATAAAAATATTTTAAAATATAAATTTCATCAATTTAATTTATATTTAATTAAAAAATAATTATTGATAAATCTAAAAATTATATAGTCATATGATGCTATTATATTTTTTTAACTCAAATCATAATATCAAAAATTAAAGTCAAATTATAATACTAAACAAAATCGTCAAAAGATATAAAAATAGTTTCATATAATTTTTGGAAAAATCGTCGTAAAATATCTATATTTTTTCTAGGTCGCAATTTAATACCTATATGTTTTTAATTATTGAAAAAATCCTGCACTATTGAAAACTTTTTTAAAAAAATACATGTATTCGGATTTCGTTAACGGTTAATCTCTATTATATAGCGTCTTAATAACATCGTTAATTGTGAACGGAAGTGTCGATGTGCCATTAACGGAGTGTCACGTCGGATAGGTCTTCCATGTCATCATGAGTACCCCTAATCCCTAAATGAAGTGTTCCTAAATCCCTAAATAGTTCATTCGAATTCCAGAGATATTGTCGTTTAGGGTTTTCTCTCTTCCTCCATCTTCTTCCTCTCTCATCATTCGCCTGTTACCCAGGAAACCGAAAAACTGAAGATTGTCGTTGATTCCATTATTCATCTCTTTCACCTAGACTTCGTTTGACTTCCGCGAAAAGGTTAGGCCCGAAGAGTTTCCATTTTTTGGGTTTTTACAGAATCTTATGGTAAATGGGTTAGAAATCAGTGGAAGTAATGGTTTTTAATTGTATTTTAGTACTTTATTTTCGATTATGTTTACAATGTGACGTGTTTTATGAAATTTTGCAATAGTTTGAGATGAGTCAACAATATAAAACAAATTCAAATGGTGAATCAAAATGGGCAAGAAGTGAATCAAATCACTCTAAAGGTATACCTTTTCGATACGATTGTGGAGGACCGGCGGTAGTTTATGTTTCGAAGTTAATGATATTTATGTGGTGTAATGTTTTAGAGAAAATATTTGGGGTTTTTCAAATGGCTTGATGATGCTTTGGTTGAAGAAAATAAAGATTTCCGAAATGAATTGGATAAAGTAAAATCGTATTCTGAAGATTTCAAAAATGAGTTTTAGAAGATGATTTCTGAATCACAGAAGGTTATTATAACTTTGAAGAAGATCGAAGAACAAAATAACTTTGAGGTTTTGAGTGTCAATGACAATCTGAAGAAGATGGAAGAACAAATTAGTGTTAAATCGAAGATGGAAGAAGTTATGAACCGTGAGATGGAGAAGCTTAATATGAAATTGAAGAACATGGAAGAACAAATGATTGAATATAAAACAAGCCAATTCCAAGTTGTTGGAGTCATCACTATTGTTGTGATCGTATTTGCTTACTATTATGGGTTATCACTCATATGATTTGTGTAATATGTTGGATGTGGTGATGTGTAATTGATGATGTGTGATGTTTTGTTGCTTTATATATAACGGATGATGTTTTATTGAATGGAATGTAATAAACTATTATTGGAATGAATGTCTTTTTGAAATATAATGGATTGGATTGAATATTATGTTGAATGGTGAGTCTCTGAATTCTGAAATGGAAAAAAATACTGACAATATATATCCAAAAAAGAGGTAAATCCCTATATTTCCATCAACAAAAGTATACCAAAAATGGGTAATACCCTACATACTACATATCCATAAACAAAAGTCTACAAAAAATGGGTAATACCCTACATATCTGTCAATAGAAATCTAAAAAAAAATGGGTAATACCCCTACATATCCGTCAACAAAAGTCTACCAGGAGCGTGAAACCTTCTACCAGTAGTGCGTGATGATAAAACAACAATTTGAGGGGCTGATGATGAAGTTTGCATTGGAGGAGTCGACGATGAAGGAGAAAATGGAGGAAGATTAAATTGCCGATTAGGAATTTCTGATTGTAGGGTCTGACTTGATTGTGTAGGAAAGACTGACCCTACAGCAACAACAAAAATTAGTACATGTCATCAAACTGAGATATCCGGAAACTGTAAACAATTAATACATATCAACAACTACAACAACACTTACCTTCAGCAACAGAATTAGCACTACTTTCACCAGCCGAATGAGCTGAGTTTTGTTCTTGTAGTTTTCCTTATCTCTGGTGGTCTCCTACTTGTTTCACATTCATTTCCTTCATTCTATAAACATTAGACAACATAATAAACATTTATCCATTCATAACAACTTAACAAACCCAACAAATGGGTACTTGGATTTTTCGCGGTCGATCTGCCTTTCTTGGTGGACCATGTACTTGAAACTGTTCATTCTTGTACGTCTTGATATTATGTCCAACCTGTTTATATTTAGTACATGTTATTTTTCGTCCATGACGGGAAACGCGGCCAGTCTTCGAAGGTGATTCCTGTAGATCCTTTTTCCGATGAAACTTCCTCGGTCGCCCTGACATTGTTTGAGGAATGGGAACGTCAAGTGAAGCCTTCATTATCTTACGCTAGAACATTTCACCATTCAAAGGCAGAATATTGTGTTCATAAGTTGCACCCTATGTTGCCTTACTAAAGTAAGGAGAAACATACCTAAAATAAAACATTGTTTTCGAATATCCTCAAGCATATCAACCACATGACGCAATCTAAGATCTCTAATTGAGCTGTTATAACTCTCATTTAAGTTGTTGTTGATATCTCCACATCTCGTTGATTCTTGGAAAAATGCTCGAAAACAATGTTTCGGATCAATAGTAACCAATACCTTATATGATGCGTTATTGAATTGTTTCAATGCATTGATGTGTTGGACAAATTCACCTCTACTATAATTGAATGCATCAGCCCAGAAAAACTTCTTGTACTCTATGTCCTAGAATTGCTTCTTCCAATTGATATATATATGTCGGACACATACGATGTTCGTAGCAAGAAAATTCTTCAGAAATTGCTCGGATCAGACCCTTAAAAACGAATGACAAATCAAGTTTAATAATACAGTTTCTAGATTGGAAATGTTCAAGTTTGTCGGAATACCTTTTGTTTGTCGGAATGTATTATCAAGTTTTCACCTTCTCCGAGGCATAAATCTTGTTTTAATTTTCGCATGAACCATGCCCATGTGTCTTACTCTCAACACGTACTACAGCCCATGCTATGGGATACACTGTGTTATCACCATCCCTTCCAATTGCAGCCAAAAACTCGCCTTTCAATGACCATTTTAAGAAACATCCATCCAATCCAATAATTGGACGACAATGTTTCTTCCAACTCTCGCAATTGTAATTAATTTACAGAACTTTATGTGAAAATTGACATCACAAAGATCTAACGACATGTTTTATCAAGAACAAACAAATAGGAATGGTAAAATACGTACCTGAGTCTGTCATCATATTGACACAAACGAACCCAATTGTAGTTTTCTGGATCTTTACGCACTTTCAAACTTACAAACAAATGGGAAGAGTGTAAGAATGTTTTGTGGTTTTTCACTGTACGTATGATCCAGGGACCACTACCATTTATAGATTTAACTATCTTATATTTCCTAAAATGCCCATCAAGTTATAGAAAATTACTTTTTGGTATCTGCACATTAGCTCTTAAACTTTACTGAAATTACGATTTAGACACATTTCATAAATGATCACATTTATACCTCATCAATAGCTACCGTTACAAAATCCATAATTTAAATCCAATATTGAATCATATTAATTACGAATATTATAAAATATTCTAACAATCTCCCACTTGATTTAATATATGTGATTTTGGATTATCTTTAGAGAGCTCAACAACATGCTCTTATTTCGTAATTTCATCAATCTGGTCCATTGAACGTATAATATAGGACCTTAGCGGCTTTTGTCATATTTTGCACGACTAAACCTTCTAAGATCACATATATTAACAAATCCAATGACATAAATCAAAGTTTAGGTATGCAGCATGAAAATTACACGATAAGTGATCTATGCGTGTCTATTTTCAGTTGGTCCTCTTTAACCTTATGGAGATCTTAATATTTCAGAGTAGAAACTAAAACTTTTAAACTTTATTTTCTGCAAAAAAAATTTACTTTAGTCTTTTCCAACACATAACTCCCACTTAAACTATACATCATCAATTG